AAGTATCTTTCTTTGGTGATCATTTGTATCTAAAGGCGTTTGGTGATCAAAAGTATCTTTTTTTGGTGATCATTTGTATCTAAAAAATTTGGTGATCAAAAGTACTTTTACTCATTTTTCTTCTCTGAACTTTTTCTTCGGCGACTTTTCTGACTTGCAGAAGCACGAAAAAAGTCGTGAAGCGAGCACTTGCATCTAGATTAAAGGTACATTTATCTAGTTTTGACTAGCTCCACTGAAATACATGAAAATTTCATCTGTAGCAAGCTTTAATCTAGCTTCAATTGGGTACAGCTGGCTGCTTTCGATCAACTGGGTGTTTCAGCTAGAACATGATTTCAATCAGCATACAACTACATAAACGCACTTTTTAATCTAGCTGCAAGAGAGCGCTACAGCTATTATTACAGCTAAATTTTTTCCCTTAGCCAGTTTTGTTTGAATCAGTACCTCGTTCGTCGGTTCGGTAAAGATTGTATAATGAAAATATAAGTCGATGATGGATGGTAAAGACAGATAATCATCGCGCACCTAAATAATACGTTGAGCAATCATATTTTGAACTCTGAATCCGATGATTTCTATGAACAATATGTAAGGTTTGGCACTCTCGCTGTTGGTCAGATCGGTTACCCCTACTCCTTGCACTCTGTCAAAGTTATTCAGCTACATAACGGACGATTACGGCTGCCTGTTCATTTGAATCAAACAAATGTTTGTTTGTTTTTCCAGGTCGATAATTGCTAATGATACAACAACGGCTTCCACGAGTGCTATTAACGTTCTACCGGTAGATACGATAAATATAAACGAAAATGTTCAAAATTTTATTGGTGTTTGGCTTGATAATAGCTCTGTAGAAAGAAAGACAGATGTTTCTAACTATAACAATGAAGATTATTTAAAAACACAAGCCAGCTTGGATCTTGTTTTCACGTATTTAAAGTCCTATATCGATCCATTTAAATTTTTTTTTGACATAGATTCTGCTTCAATCGCTGGAAAAATATTCTTAGTTGTATCGCACTTAGAAGATGAACATGTCATTTCTCTTGTACATAGTCGATCTGAAATCGAATTCATTTACGTGTACCACCCACAGAATAGTATTGCCGAGAAAAAGAAAGATGATGGGTGGATCCAAAAGTATCCAAAAATTCGCGGTGGTGTCTTCATGACTAGGGATAATTTATGCGCTCAAATAAAAGCTGACATTGATGAATATTCTAGTGATGAACAAATAGAACTAAATACAGTTCAAGAGGATAAAAGTTATGAATCGACAACTACTACCAACCGTACAACTATTACTAGTACTTCGTCTAGCAGCAAATATACTCTACCGCCAATGGCTATTTTTACTTCGGATACAAAAGAAAATGTTATTCACAACTTAAACAAAGAATCTGCTTCATTCATTTGGTTTCAATTATTGGCTGAAATTTTACTTCGTATGTCTCATTCGGATGAAGCAAAAGAAGATATGTTAAATGAATGTCTTTCGCAGTATGCAGATAATAGTTCAGAACTGGAAAAACTCAAAGAATTTAAAGACACATATTCTAGAATAGCACTCTTTTAACACTCGGTGATTTTTTGAGAGAAGCTGGTGAATATAAGAAAGCTGAAAACTATTATCGACGATTACTAGTTGAATTTCCACAAAAAACGGATGAAATGAGAGGAATTATTTATAATAATTTAGGTTTAGTTCGTCTAGAAGGAGGTGATCCTGATGTAGCACTAGAATATTTTGAAAACGCAGAAAATATCTTAAAACCATTAAATAGTGATCTACCATTGGCTGCTACATATGGTAATAAACAAATGGCCTATTGTCATAAAGGTAATTATCATGCTGCATTTCAAAATCATGAAAAAACTCGAGAAATTATATTAAAATCATTACCGGCTAATGATCCATCGATGATTAAAATTCATATAAATACGGGTGTTACATATCATAAAAAAGGAAATTATGATGAGGCTCAAAGAAATTATCAAAAAGCTCTTGATCTTCAATTAAAAGCTGAAAAATATCCCCCCGATCTGTCAGCAATTTATAATAATATGGGTGGTTTATATTACAGTAAAGGTGATTATGAAAATGCTTTGAAATATTTTAATATGGCACATGAGACTGTAGTCGATTTTTTACCTCAAACACATTCTTGGTTATTGGATTATAGACGAAATATAGCAGCTGCAGTTAACCACGATAGAAGTACGCCCAAAAAACTAAAACGTCAGTAGAATAGATTTATTAAATTTTATAAACAGAAAACTCTAATTGATAACACAATCGCAACATTTATCAGCTTTTCTCACAAATGAATCATTTAACAACTCGATAAAATCTGGTTGTTGTTACCAAGGTGCTGCACTGTACGGTATCAAAATGCTTTTGACTGTGGAAATTGTATCGGTTTAATACTTGTATCAAAGTCTTTTTTAATGATCGTTATTGACTGAATCATGTTTTTCTACTATGTTATTCTACTATTTGTGATACTTCGTCAATCCATTTAAGATGTTTTTATTTCTGTTCGTAACCTATATAAGGACTGACTTTGGGCATTCTTCGGCTGATGTTAAAAACAGTATTATTAATTTTATTGTACTTTTCTCGCTTAATCACGGTCAAAGTTATTATTACACAACAACCCATAGAATAAAGTTCCATCAAAAATTTTGGATATATCCACTGAAAAAGTTCATGGGCATAAAGAAAGTTACTTGTTAACGTTCTAGAGAAATTCATTTAATAAAAGCAAGTATCACCTAATCTTTCTTCTATCGCTAGAATGTGCATCAGCACTATAGACATTGATGATATCAAATGTTTTTACTCTTTCGAGAGCTTTTGTCTTATATCTTATTTACATAGAGACGGATATTTTTTTGTCAAGACTTTAACAAATCATCTGTTCAGTATGACGAAATATATAGCAATAAGCAAAGGATAGCTATTTCTATTTATACGACACATAAGTCTGACAATAGCTTTTCCTCGAAAGAGGGACCTTTGTCTTTTGAGATATTGAGCGTTGAACTCATAGGTAATTTACGCGATGGGTTTTCCCAGGAGACCATCAACAGCATTTTAGATATGTCGGATATGGATCACAAAAGTTTAAGCTGCTGATGTAACGACGTTGTCTACTACGAAAAGGTGTTAACAATCTACTTTTTGTGCCCCGCGAGAGCATACAAATTATTTCTATACAAGTAATTGTAGCGTTTCTTCTTATCAGTCTTCCTTTTTTCCCTCGGGTTTAATAAAATTTTATATCTGCTCTATTGTGAACAAGTATACTGAACTGAAGTAACAGCAGTGCCTGATACAAGCTTAGATGGATATTCAATTCCTCTTTCTGTTCGTTCACACGATAAAACACGAAAAGAGAAAATGGAAAGAAAAACATAGGCTAAAAAAAAGGTAAAGCGGAAATTTGGCAATAGGAATTTCGCCACCTGAATTTCGCCTATGTCGAATTTCTGATAGAATTTCTAATTTTTTCCAAATTCTATCAGAAATTCGACAATATTGTCGAATATCCAGGATTGTCGAAATTCTTGCGGAATTACGGCAATAATAATTTTTGCTGGGAATTTTATTGTCCATTTTCCAATGGAATATGGACAATACGCATAGTAGTGAGGATTGTAATAAATCAGTTGTATCTCAATTGATATGATGCTGACTCGTTTAACTTCGTTTACACGTCTACGTTCTTTACATACGCTCATCTTCTCCTTGTTTTTTCTTTTTCTTTGTTGATTTTCTTCTATTCTACGTACTAGATACCATATACATAGAGATGTTTCACTACATTTTTCTCCTTTCTTTATATTCGAGAATCGACGAATATGTATAGTTTTTCGTTCATACAGATAGTTACCTGTACATTTAGACATAAAGAGATTTTTAGGTTGTTTTCATTTTTCTTTTTCTCCTTTTTCGTCATATATATTCAGCGCGTAGAAAAAAAAGACGCTACTCATGGGTCTACAACTGCCACCAATACTGATATTGGTAATTTAGATGATGTTTAGTCAGAATTCTCTTGGCTCTTGGGCTTCCAGTTAGTTTTCTCGATTTGCTCGTACACGATATTTTTGTTCGGCTAATGTACCTTCACTGGAAAAAATTCTCAAACACTTGTTTTTTTCGACATTTTTGTTTTCTTCGTTCATCTTCTGGTGCCAGGTCTATTTATACACAGCATTTCTTTGTTTGTCTGATGTTGTCGATGGAAAAATAAATCGATATAGTTAATTGTGTGACACTCAGTCCCCGATCAGTAATTCTTTTCTTCGTATTAATTCAAAACAAAGAAATTTGTATTCTACAATGCACTACGGTTCCAACTGGTGCATATATTGTCCATATTCTTGTGTAAATTGGACAATAAAATAACCAGCAAAAATTATTATTGTCGTAATTCCGCAAGAATTTCGACAATTCTGGATATTCGACAATATTGTCGAATTTCTGATAGAATTTGGAAAAAATTCGAAATTCTATCAGAAATTCGACATTGGCAAAATTCAGGTGGCGAAATTCCTATTGCCCAAATTCTATAGATTCAAAAAAAAAAGGTACTCTACCGAACCTAAAAAAGGTTTGAACTTTTGTCACCATCTATATACCTTTTTAAGGTTTCGTAAAAACTATATACCGTTTTACTTAGCTAAATCCGTGACTGGGAAAAGCTTGGGAAC